ATATATTCAAGTACCCTTTTTAACCTCATCCTTGCTATTCCTTTTTTGATTTTTGACTAAATAATGTCTCATTATTTTGAAATCTAGGCCTTTAAACAATTCTCAAGTATTATTCTTGGTGGGAAACATTAAGACATAAAATTTAAAACTCTACTTGTAAACTTGGATTTTTTTTTTTTTCTTCTTTCTTTCCTCTTTTGAGACAAGTTCTCACTCTGTCACCCAGGCTGGAGTGTGGTGGCACTATCTTGGCTCACTGCAACCTCCGCCTCCTAGGCTCAAGTGATCCTCCTACTTCAGCCTCCCAAGTAGCTGGGGCCACAGGCATGTACCACCATGCCCAGCTAATTTTTTTTTGTATTTTTTGTAGAGTTGGAGTTTCACCATTTTGCCCAGACTAAAACTTAGATTTCTTTTAAGGTTTAAAATACTGAAACTTTATTGTTTTCAAACTCTTAATTACCAAATTACCAGAGATGATGAGCTTTAGCATTATTTTCTCATACATTTATCTTTTCTACCTTGTTTTGTTTCCTGCAGCTTGCTGCTATAGGAAAAGGTGTGGCAAATCACATGCCGTTCTATGGTGGCCGAGAAAATAACTCCATCTCTGTAGCTGTCTGGCACATCTTGACAGAATATATGGTACAGCTTAGAAGTGTTTCAAAGGCTTCTTGCTCTAAAATTTGGGGGAAAAACTATCTGTTGCTTGCATATATAAGCATAAAATGATTCACTTGATATTAATGCCCTTATGTTCTTTGATTGACTAGGGTATATGAGAGAACTAAGAGGAAGGAACCCTCATTTAAAGGCAAATAAAGACTTGATACTTTTCTTCTGTGTTCACCGGATAAGATTTATAGTATAGTAATCAGAAATTCCAAACTGGCTCTCAGGCATTGTATCTACATGATGCCAACTTTTGTAAGTGAACTGTAAATTTTTCTCTCAAACTATTACTTCATGCTATTTTTCACCCAGGCAAGTAGCAGATTGATTTCAGGAACCAGAGGTTGCATGGATGGCTGGTCCAATTGATCCGTCTGTCCTAATGGATCATTGTGTAACAGGGTGGAAAAACAGGAAGCTTGATTTAGGCACCATTTTGATCAGAGATTGAAGTCAAATGATGTGAGTGCTCAGGTCATTATGATTCCTCTAGTTAACTCCATCCTGTAGAGTGGGGAGCTCTCTTGATCTCACCTCAGTCATGCTCATGATAAATAGAATTGTTTTTCAGCAAGTCAGTATTTGGTAGTTTTGAGAGAAGGTTCAGTTTTACTAGATGAATGTTAACAATGCAATAGTTTTATTCTGAAAATTTCCGTGTAACTTTTGAAGAGGAAGAACATACCTGGTTTTCTCAAGAGTGAAAAACTATTTTCAGCAAACAATTTGGTGTGGAAAAAGTGTACTTTAATTTTATAGGTGTTTGTGTCTGTCCAATCCTGGCTTCTCAGTTTCTCAGAACTGTCATCCATCCTACCCACCCCATCCCAGAATTTGTGTGATCCCTAGCAAAACACAGAAGTCCTTTCCCCACTCAGGAGAGGGGATTGGGAAACATATTCTACCATGTGTTATTCCCCAAATAGTTGTTTCATACCATTCTTCAGAGGCAAATAAATGAGCTGTGCTATGGAATCAGTTTCATGGGTGTTTAGAAAAACTCAATCCATCTGCCTTAACGGATAATTGTGTAACAGAGTTAAACAACAACAACAACAAGACACACTTAGCCTTGAAGCTCTGGGGCTGCAGTGCCTGGAGATCAGCCAGATCTTTCCTGTTCAATGACAATAAATATGTCGTGGTATCCTGAACCAATGCTCATCTTGGGAGGAATTCCAGGTTGGGGGTAGGATGTGGAGGTAACAGAGGGAGAACCTGCTGTTTGGTGTTTTTCTGCTAAAATTGTAGTCTTAGCCTTTCAGTTATTTTCTTTCTTCTTTTAGCCTTTCCTTAACATTCCTTCAACCCCCCACCCCTACTTTCTGCACTTGCAGAATGAGTGTGCTTCCTCCAACCACAATCTCCGTATCCCCTAAATCTCCTATGCAGAGGGAGCCCAGTCCTGTGCCCTGCCATGTTGCCTTATCCATAATAATCAAGCCTCTTGGAGCTGGGCATCTTTTCACACCACCTTAGCTTTGTATTCATCTGACTTTTGCACTTAGGAATTTATTATGCCCTGGGACTATTTCCCTAGCTCAGAAGCCTTGAGGTGGGTCACAGAGCTTTGTCACTCTTCCTCATGAGGGCTATACCTCTGCCACAATAGTTTCTTCTGCTGCTGCTGCTTTTTCATGGGGTTGTTCTCTTGTCCCTTTCCCCATGCTGGGCAATCAGTCCTGTGCTGTGGTTGGCTTAGCTGCCTTTCTTTGGAAGGTATTTTTTTTACATTTGCTTCAGTTGTTTGGATTCTAGGGCAGGATATACCCTCTCTGTGGTCTACATGTATGTAAATGGCTATATCAGGGTGATACAATAAATGATGTGAAAATGCACATTTGCAAAACAAAGCCAATATAAATATGGATCATGCTGTTGACTTTTCTTAATGAGAACAAAATTTTGTAGCAACAGGGAATAGAAATGTAAATTTAGTTTTTGGTGATTCATTACATAATAGGAAACATTCCAGTTCGACATTGGTAAATAAAGTAAAAGTACAATTTACTTATTCATCCATTTAGTCAGCATATATTACTTGAGCATCTATTATGAGTCACATTTCACACTAAGTAATGAAGACACAAAGATGAATGAAACAGTTCCCAACCACATTGGGAAATCTGACAGTCTAAGGGAAGAGACACATACAAACAGAAGTCACTGGAAAACAATGTGATATTCTAGAAACAGGATATACACAGAGGATTAAGGGAGTATAAATAAATGAATAATTGAATGAGTGAATGAACTTTTCTTTTTCCTTTAATCTAATGGAAAACAAGTAGTTCAATGGCTGCTTTGTGGATATAGAGGGTTGAAAATAAATCTGCACTTAAAAAAATCACACTCCTTCTATAAAGGCTGGGTTTGCATTCTGTCTCCTGAAACTGGGCAGGTGTTTTCACTATATTCTCAGCAGTGTGTGATGAAAGTGATCCTGTGTGAATTCCAAAGTGAAGACATAAAAGGTGATGCTGATCCTCCTGACTTGCCAGAGCTCAAAGCACCATGCTGTGAGGAAGCCTAAGGTAGCCTGTGTACGGACACTATGTGGAAAAGCCCTGAGCATACCTGAAGAGAGCTGCCTGGCATCCCCCATCTGCTCCAACTCACCTACTGTCCCAGCTTCAGCCACTACCTGACAACAACCATGTGAGACCCTAAGCCAGAATGACGTGGTAGAACCTTGTTTTTTGTTTTTGTTTTTTTGAGATGAAGTCTCATTCTGTTGCCCAAGTTAGAGTGCAGTATTGCCACATCTCAGCTCATTGCAACCTCTGCCTCCTGGATTCAACCGATTCTCCTGCCTTAGCCTCCTGAGTAGCTGGAACTATAGGCATGCACCACCATGCCTGGCTAATTTTTAAATTTTTAGTAGAGATGGGGTTTCACTGTGTTGTCCAGGCTGGTCTTGAACTCCTGACCTCAAGTAATCTGCCTACCTGGGCTCCCAAGGTCCTAGGATTAGTGAGCCACTGAACTCCATCCTGGTAGAGTCTTTCTCAGACTCCTGACCCACAGAAACGACAGGAGCATAAAATGTTTGTTTTTGTTTCAAGACGTTAGGTACTGGGTTGATTTGATACATATCAGTAGAAAAATGGAACAGAATGTTACTTTATAGTGGGGTGCTGCTACAACAAAAGATGAAAATAGGTAGCATTAATCTGGGGTGGGCATCGGGGAGATGCTGGAAGAGCCTTGAAGATACTGTCAGCAGAAGGCTTCGGGGCCCTGAGGATCTGTTGTAAAGGTTTAAAGGAAGGTTAAGAAAACTTTATTGAAAACTGGAAGAAAGAAGGCCTTTGTTAGGTGATGGTAGAAAGTTTAGCCAAATTGTTACCTGTAGTGTGGAAAAGAGAAAGTGTACCCAATGAATTGATGGATCAGCCTGGGAAAATTTGCAGGCAGAATGCGGAAAGGCCAACCGGTTTCTTTGAGACGCTATGCTCAGACACAAATAGATAAGCCAAAAATGCAACTGTTCAGTTTTCAGTAAAAACATAAAGGGGATAGTAAGATGTCAAGATAAATAAGTGTTTCTTGTTCTTACTTTTACCAGAAAACAAAAATCCTCAAATTAAGTACTAGGTTCAGGGCAGAGGTCAAATCCAGGGTGGTCTTGTACGATCCTTTGTTAAGACCTTAGATGTTAGGTGGTGCCTTATATCCTTTCACACAGACGAAAATGTTCTAAGAATCTGAAGGGTGTGTATCACAGATCCTCTGTGTCAAACAACAGGGTTTTTAAGACTTTTTTTTGTTTGTTTTTTTAAGACTTTGCTTTTTTTTTTTGAGACAGTGTCTTGCTCTCTTCCCCATGCTGGAGTGCAATGGCTTGCCCTTGGCTCAAGCGATGCAACCTCCACATCCCAGGCTCAAGGGATCCTCCCATGTCAGCCTCCCAAGTGGTTGGGACCACACATGTAAGCCATGATGCCTAGCTGATTTTTGTATTATGGCAGAGATAGGGTTTCAACATGTTGCCTACGTGAGTCTCAAACTCCTGGGCTCAAGCAATCCTCCCACCATGGCCTCCCAAAGTGCTGGGATTATAGGCATGAGCCACTGTGCCAGACCAGGACTTTTAAGATGCTTAAGGGAATTTTCTGACAGCAACCTTACAGGGATCCCAAGGTAAAAAAGCCTTACTTTAAAGACTTTCATATAACTTTCATTTAATGGATTAGATTACAAATTAATATACAAAAATTTCACAAAAAAATTTTAAAAGAATTGTATCAACTTGAACTGAAAAGGACAGACAGAGCAAAATGAAAAGAGGCCTTTGTTTCCTACAATGAACGTGGGCAGGATCCTGAAATATCTACTTAGTTGCATTTCCAGTGCTAGGTCTTAAGTGGCAATACAACTTCTGCCTTGTTTGCTGGAACATTTGCAATGGAGCACTGTTTTGGGAGGTAAGCAGTCTGACTGCCCTAAGGGCACCATGCTGTGAAGAAGTCCAGTTGGTCTACCTGGAAAGATTGTATAAAGAAGCACTGCCACAGCATGCTGAGAGAGGGAGAGAGACAAAAAGGGAAGGAGGGAGAGATACGTCAATCCCTGGCTAACCCCTAGCTTCTTTAGACCTCCATTTTTTTCCTGCTCTGGCCACCGTCTGACTGCGTGAGAAGTCTCAAGCCAGACCTACCCAACAGAGCCCTTCTCAAATTCCTGACTCACAGGAACTGTGAGTCATAGTAAAGTAATACTCGTTTTAAGTCATTAAATTTTGAGGTGATTCGTTATATGGTTCTAGAAAACCAGAACACTGGCCATGTAAATCTGAACAGTATGTAACTTTTTATGCTTCCGAATGGGAAAATAAACATTCATTTATTTACTCTTTGATTTATGTCAGATACCTTGAAAGCAACTTATTGAATGAATGATTTGATGAATGAGCATCTCCATTTTTGAGGTGGGAAAATTCAAAGTTGAGCCATAGATGATTTATGTAACTCGCCTAAGGATACAAGGCAAGCAAATGTCACGAGTGGACTTGAATCATCCCAAAGCCATTAAAGTTCCATTCATTCAACACTTGTTTTATTGTGTGGTAACTATGTGCCAGGCAATGTGCTAGGCATTGGGGCTATGGTGTTAAACAAGACATTCACTGTTTCTGCCCTAACAGTGCTAATATTCTAGTGAAAACTGTCAATAAATGAGAAGTAAGTACACATTTTGACCAACGTGGAGAAGAAATATGAGAGTGCCATGATGGATTATAGGAGAAGCCGCTCCTTTTAAAGAAGGTGTTTGAGCACGTTCTCCCCAAGAAGGAGATACCTGAGCTTGGAGACCTGTCTCCAAGGAGGAGACAACTTGAAGGTTGAGAAATAGCTATGTGAAGAGGGACACAGCATTTTTTTGAGAAGATTAGGTGAGGTGTGTATTTTTTACACAGTACTAAAGCATGTTACTTCTCTTTACAGAACCTCAGATGAGTGGGACTAGCAGTGAAAAAGCTTTGTGTGAGTACCCTGAGAGTGAGGACGTTCTTGAATTTTGCAAATTCAGTCCTCTCTTGCCTGATCTTAGTCCTGGGTCTGAACATAGACTTACAAATTTTACACTTGTTGCATTATTGCCTATCACATTTAAGACTCAGCTAATAAAAGGATCATCATAGACACAGGCACACACAGATACACATACATAGGAAAAAGCCAAAGGATTGATCAAAATTAAGTGTTTAAAATACTCATGTAACTGATGGGAATTTGATGATAAGTAGCAAGGGAGTTGGCCCTTACGTTTCGGCACAGGGCTTGCTGAGATACAAGTGTGGGATTACACAGTGGGGTAGGCAGGCTTATTGAGCCCATAATGTTTTAGTACCTGTTGGGGGATGAACTAATCAGCTCCAAATGGGCAACAGGCTGCAGAATTGTGTGTGTGTGTGTGTGTGTGTGTGTGTGTGTGTGTGTGGAAGGCAGTGGTCAGCCAATGAATGCTGTTTCAGCAGGGTTCAGTTGGGAAAACTTAATATTCACAAAGTCCTCTTCTGTAGCAGAAGTATTTGTTTTGCTCAAATTCTTAGAAACTCTCTGAGATTCAAAGAATATGAAGTGCTGCACTTGGATTCAGAATGTATCATGGCCACATTGAACAAAGAATTCCCCTTCATTAGTAAAATTATGTTGCCCTTGCAGGTTCTAAATCATTCCTGGGACAATGCAGGCATTAGCGGAGGTGAAACTATGTGACTTGCAGACATGCCTGGGGAGATGGGGCCAAGTAGCAGACCTGAAATAAATTCTGGGCTTTGGAAAGAGATACTGTGTCTGCTCACTTCATGTGTTATCTTCCGAGGATTCTTTTGGTATAAGCAGTTTTGCTTATCCTGCCATTGTTCACTTTGCTCTCACTTTCTTTGAAGGATTATTTTTCCAGAGGAATATGTGGTTCAAGGTCATTTCTAATTCCCTACATTTATTTCTGTTGGGTTACTGATGCCTTTCTACTCTGATTATGCACGCCCTTCTTAAAGTTTTCTCTTTAAGAACTTTATAACTTTTCTTCTTTTCACACACTTCTTGTTACTGGCATCACTGCAGCCTAATTGGGCCCTGGGCTCAGAGGAGAGAAAAAAGCACGGATTCTACTGATCTGAAAAGCTCAGTTTAACACGTTTATTTTTATTTATTATTTTTGTGTAGAGACAGGATCTTGCTGTGTTGTCTGGGCTGGTCTCGAATTCCTGGCCTCAAGCCGGCCTCCCTCCTCCCAAAGTGCTAGGAGCCACCACGCCTGGCCTAACACAAGTCTATTGAGTAACTATTTGAGTTGAGCATTGTCTCCTGGGTGCTAGGGATCTAGAGTTTAGTGAGTCCCTAGAAGAACTCATATTCTAGTATAATTCCCTATTTGCATAACCATGTACAATAAATAGATAACTATGACACTAGTTTATAAACATGAAAGAAAGTGGACAGCACGTGCTGGAGGTGGGCAGCTCAACTGGGATGATATAGAGCATTCTTCCGCAGGACACTTCAGAGTTTTAGTCCAGATAAGGAGATTTATTAGCTCATTAGCTTGTTAGTGTTTTATTCATTCATTCATCAAACATTTATCAAGTTCCTCTCATGTGCCAGAAATAGGCTAGGTAGGTGCAGCAATACGAAATGAAAAAGAAGAATCCCTGCCTTTAGAGAGGGCACGATAGCTGTGAAAACAAATCCTGAAATGTTTTCAAATGCTATAACAGAAATCTCCACATGGTGTGGGTGAACTAAGGGAGAACAAGTTCCTTCGTGGGGACGTTTCAGGAAAAATATCAGAAGTAATGGGATAATTCTAAGACAAGTGACTGTTTACCAGGCTTTTATTAAAAAGAATACATGGGAGAAAGAATATTCCAGACTGAGGATGCACAGAGACCAGGAAGCTTGAAACCACCTGGCACATTTTGGGGAACTGCAAAACATCCAGCCTGGTTGGAGCTTTGGATGCTTAGGGACCTGGTCTAGGGGGAGAGAACCTGAAGAGGCGGTAGGCAGGGTATTCCTGGAGGACCACAGGCTGGCGGAAAGCAGAGACGCATGCAGGGTATTTAGGGAACCACAGTGATGTGGCCTGTCTGAGGCACAGGAAAGAGCAGGAACTAGAGAGGCAGGGAAGGGCCAGAACAGGAAGGGCTTTGTAGTCTAAAGCAAATGGAGTTTTTTTGTCAGTGATGGGAAGCCATGGATGGATATTAAGACATAATTGTTTTAAATTTTTTATTTCTAAAAAATTAAGACAGTAAAATTTGCTTTTATTGGTGTACAGTTCTGCCAGTTTTGACAAACGCATAAAGCCGTATTGCAACCCCTTTAGACAAAGGTACAGTAGTTTCATCATCCCAAAAAGAGTCTCCTAGCCTCTCCCTTTGAAGGCAGCTCTCCTCTATCCCAGGTAACCAGTGATCTGTTTTCTGTTATTGTGACTTTACCTTTTTTAAAATGTTGTAGGAACACAATAATATATAGCTTTTTCATTCTGATAATTCACTTCGCATAATAATATTTCACTTAGCATAATATATTTAAGACTGATCTATTTAGTATCTATACCAGTAGTCTATCCCCTTCTATTACTGAGTGGCATTCCATGGCATGGATATACTATAGGCTTTTAATTGATTCTGCAATCAGGACATTTGGTTTACTTTCACTTTTTGGTAATTATGAAAACAGCTGCTATTAACATTCAGGAACAGGGTTTTTATGAACATAACTTTTTTATTCCCCTTGGGTAAATGTCTAGGAGTGGAATTACTGGGTCGTTGGAGAATATATGTTTTTTTTTATAAGAATTTGCCAAACTGTTTTCCAAAGGTACTTGTACCCTTTTCCAATCCTATTAGCAATGTATGAGTTCCAGTTATTTGGTATCGTTGTCAGCACTTGATATTGTCAGTTAAAAAAAATGAGCCATTCTAATAGATAGGGAATGATAGCTATTATCACTGTGGTTTTACTTTGTGTTTTTTTTTTTTTTTTTTTTTTTTTTTTTCTTTTTTTTTTTTTTTTTTTTTTTTTTTTTTTTTTTGCCATGTGACAACTGTTGTTGAACACGTTTCGTGTGTGTGTGTGTGTGTGTGTGTGTGTGTGTGTGTGTGTTTGCTATCCATATATCTTTGTTGGTGAAGTGTGTGTTCAAATCTATTGCCCAATTTATTTTTTCTTGTTGAGTTTTAGGAGTTCTTTATATATTCTGCATAGAAGTCCCTTATCTAATGTTTTTTTTACAAATATTTTCTTCCAGTCTGTGGTTTGTCTTTTTATTCTCTCAATAGTGTCTTGCAAAAGCTTTTCATGTTGATGAGTCCAGTTTATAACTGTTTTCTTTTGTGGTCCAGCTTTGGGTATATTTCCCTTTTTCTTTTCTTTCTCTTTTTTTTTTTTTTT